TCTCTCTCTCTCTCTCTCTCTCTCTTTCTCTCTCCCTCTTAAATTTTGTTCAAAGTAGCCTCACTATTTGACCGACAAATACGAGGTGCGTCTGGCAGGGCCATTCAAAGACCTGTTTTTGTTTCGTCTAAAGTGTAATCTGGGTGGCTTTCGACTATCGACGCCCTCTCATCTTCCACTTCCAAGTTCACTTTCCTAAATCTTTTTTCAACAATGTCTTCAGTTTCAATCGTTCTGCGTACAGTACTGTATGCAGTAGGCTACTTCGGTTGATTTATAACGGTTTAGGGAGCATGCATTATGTAATCGTCACCACAACAAGAAGGCTTCTCGTATACCGCTATTCTCTTTATCATCGAGACTGACTCTTTTTATTCATTTTTCTTTTTGTCAGGCATGTTTAATAATAATATGTTGCTGTATCTTCCAGGTAAGATCTGTTACAACGATTGATTGCATCAAAGTGCTGAATCTAACAAAACGAGATGATGGAGAGAGAAGTGAACAGTAAACAATCAACGTAGCTAAGAAACAGATATTTGAACTTTCACTGCTGCATTTGAACTCTCTGTCTTCATATTTGATCGGGAAAAGGTGTAGATCTAAAAAGCTGACGACGAGTATTGAAGGCGAGAGACGCCAACAGTAAACAACGAAAGTTGCTAAGAGACAGGGTAGCTTCCCCTGACTCGAAGATGATAGTTATATCATAGCTTCGTAGTTTTTCGTATTGTTGAATTTGAACTTTCCTATGCTGCATTTGAACTGACAATGACGAATTCGATTTCCCTGTTGTTTACATTTGAGCACGCCTGTGATTACATTTGAGCTGACATTTGCTTACGCTTTCCATTGTGTTGAATTTGAACTCTCTGTGTTGAATTAATTCGACTATTTTGATATTTGAACTTTCATTGCCGCATTTGAGCTCTCTATTTTGACATTTGATCATGAAAAGGTGCAGTACACGTGTAGATAGTGGCAGTAGTTGAAGTAGTGGTAGAGTTGGTAGGGATAGCAGTGGTAGTGGTGGTAAAAGTAGTAGTGGTAAAAGTAGTAGTGGTAGAGGTGGTAGTAGTAGTAGTGGTAAAAGTAGTAGTGGTAGTGGTGGTAGTAGTAGTAGTGGTAAAAGTAGCAGTGGTAGTGGTGGTAAAAGTAGTAGTGGTAGAGGTGGTAGTGGTAGTGGTGGTAGTAGTAGTAGTGGTAAAAGTAGTAGTGGTAAAAGTAGTAGTGGTAAAAGTAGTAGTGGTAAAAGTAGTAGTGGTAGTGGTGGTCCTGGTATTTGTGGGGGCGCAGTAGTAGTGGTGGCAATGGTAGCAGAAGAAATGCAGGTAGAGATGGTAGTGGAGGTAGTGGTAGTGGAGGTAGTGGTAGTGGTGGTAGTGGCAGTGGTAGTGAGGGTTTTGATAGTGGTGGTAGAGGTGGTAGAGGTAGTGGTGCTTGTGGTAGTAGTGCCAGTGGTAGTGGTGCTAGTGGTAATAATAATAAATAGCATTTGTATAGCGCATATCCCCGCTCAACAGCAGGCTCTATGCGCTTTACACTATATTATTGATATTACCCCAGCAGACCATAGAACATTCCGAAACATTCTCATCTTCCCGGGAAGCATACAGTGCAAGCAGCTGGGAAAGCTCTCAAACACCATAAAACTGACAAGATCTTTCGCTGTCTCTAGCCGGGTACCCATTCCCACCTGGATGAAGTGAGGAAAATTCGTGTAAAGTGCCTTTCCCAAGGACACAACGTCGGACCCCTGATGGGATTCAAACCCACGACCTTACGGTTGCGAGTCCGAGAGCCTAACCACTAGGCCACCGTGGTAGTAAGGGTTGTGGTAGTGGTGGTACTGGTGATAGTGGTAATGGTGGTGGTAGTGGTAGTAGTAGTAGTGATGGTTGTGGTAGTGGTAGTGATTGTAGTAGTGGTGGTTGTTGTAGTGGTAGTGATGATAGTGGTCGTGGCGGTAGTGGTAGTGGTAGTAATGATAGTGGTAGTGGTAATGATGATAGTGGTAGTGATGATAGTGTTAATGATGATAGTGGTAGTGATGATAGTGGTAGTGATGATAGTGGTAGTGGTAGTGATTGTAGTAGTGGTAATGATGATAGTGGTAATGATGATAGTGGTAGTGATGATAGTGGCAGTGATGATGGTGGTAATGATGATAGTGGTAGTGATGGCGGTGGTAGTGGTAGTTGTGGTTGTGGTAGTTGTGGTTGTGGTAGTGGTAGTTGTGATTGTGGTAGTGGTAGTGGTGATAGTGGTAGTACTGGCAGTGGTAGTGGTAGTTGTGTTTGTGGTAGTGGTAGTGGTGGTTGTGGTAGTGGTAGTGGTGATAGTTGTGGTAGTGGTAGTGGTAGTGATGGCAGTGGTAATGATGGTAGTGATAGTGGTGATAGTGGTAGTTGTGGTTGTGGTAGTGGTAGTGGTGATAGTGGTAGTTGTGGTTGTGGTAGTGGTGATAGTTGTGGGAGTGGGAGTTGTGGTTGTGGTAGTGGTAGTGGTGATAGTGGTAGTACTGGCAGTGGTAGTGGTAGTTGTGGTTGTGGTAGTGGTAGTTGTGGTAGTGGTAGTGGTAGTTGTGGTAGTGGTGGTAGTGGTAGTGGTAGTTGTGGTTGTGGTAGTGGTAGTTGTGGTAGTGGTAGTTGTTGTTGTGGTAGTGGTAGTTGTGGTAGTGGTGGTAGTGGTTGTGGTAGGGGTAGTTGTGGTTGTGGTAGTGATAGTTGTGGTAGTGGTAGTGGTAGTACTGGCAGTTGTAGTGGTAGTTGCGGTTGTGGCAGTGGTTGTGGTAGTGATGATAGAAGCAGAAATAATAGCGGTAAAGGCGCAGGAGAAAAGTAGCCCTGAGGCACGGAGTTCACCTCTCATGGCAAAGGTTCGAACCCAGTCCGTTCCGGCATGTCCATTTTTTTTCTTTTTCTTCTGTTTCTTTTGTCTCATCCTACCCCTCCCCTCTTTGTCTTTCTTAAAAAATCCTCAAAGCGACCTCCTCTCTCGCCTTTTCTCTCTCACTCACTCACTCGACCTCTTTTTTTTTTTTTTTTTACCTCTACGTGTATAATTGTGGTAGGTAAAATCGAGCATCTGTCTTTCTCGGATACGGACGAAAAATCTTAGAGACCCCGTGTGCATGTCCCGTACATTAAAACTCCCTTTGTTGTCGAAAATGATAGTAGAGTAAGCTCTTTGGTCTCCACACGGGCAACATTTTTAAAAAAAATTGCTTATTTAATAAAAAATAATTTTTAAATCCCTATTAAGCCTGTAAATTAATAGTAAGAAATGTCTTACAAAATCCTCAATTCCACACATATTGACCCTGTCCTCTCCTTTGAAGCATATCAAAGAAGTCGAGATCTGAAGGGAGGGGAGTGCATACTGTTCTCATGTTGTACTTGAGCAAACTTCTTTCTTCCTCTATGTCTACAGCATAGACCACGGGTCCCAAACTTAACCCCATACGTACTGGTACACCCTGGGGTAATCTTTGTACCCCTGGGTTGTATTCTTCACATTTTAGAATACTTCTAGTACGAAGATCTCTTCGAAACTTTCAGTATTTCTCAAAAAAATATTTTGACAGACTGCTATGCAAAGCGTACGAATCGGATTAACGAGTAAATTTCCTCTTTAGAAAGTGGTGGCACCGAGTTCCCCACGTCGTATAGATACGATAGTAAAACACGACGTACGGAGAAGGTTAAAGTACCCGGCGGCCGCGAGGGAAGGAGTCTGGGTGAACCTGGGCCACATCAAGTATAATTTGCCACAAAAAAAGGACTGGAGTACTCTGTACTTTCATACAACCAGCTTACGCCAAATCCTCAGAATCTTCTGGCCCGACAAGATTTCCAACGCAGATCTGTTACGTAAATGTAGGCAAGAGGACATGACCACCATAATAAAAAGGAAAAGATGGAGATGGATTGGACATGTTCTTAGAAGAGAGCCAGACTCTATTGTGAAGACTGCCCTCCACTGGACACCCGAAGGACGTCGCAAAAGGGGCAGACCCAAAGTGACCTGGAGACGCACAGTGGAGTCTGAGATGAAGGCCTGGAATCATTCATGGGGAACGTTGACCAAGATGACCCAAAACAGACAGAGCTGGAGATCCTCTGTTGCTGCCCTAAACGCCAGATGGCGTAATGGGTAGTAAGTAAGTAAGTAAGCAAGTAAGAAGTAGGCTACTCTGTTAAGTGGTAAAAGAGCAACCTTGAAATCAAGCTCTAAACGCATCAACGCCAGTGGCAGCTCCCACGAACCTGAGCTGAAGGGTGATCTGATAAAACGCATTCCTCTTATTAACATTGTTAGTTTGTCTTTAGCTCAAATTCGATAAAATTTGGTTTAGTTGTGGTAAACGAGATATATCTTCCCGTGGGATAGTCAAACATAAACAACTTAGCTATTTGTTTGTTTAATCAGCAAAAAAAACAAACAAAAAAACCCACACTAAATCGCGATTATCTCGAAACCTTGATTTTGAGAAAAATTCGTGTTTTTTAAAATAAAGAGATAGAAATATAAAAATCCTGGGTAACACCTCGGCAAACAGGTGCGTGGGAGAAGACCGTGCAGGTCACACCAGTACGAGTGTACATAACGTTGTTGTTGTCAAGTAACGGCCGAAAAAGACCGCCTGCAGGCAGCAATTGGCCCACGGCATGGGGTAAAAAAGTGGGTTACGTTGTACTAGCTGGGCCCCCTTTGGGTGAAAGGAATGATCAGTGTATTAACGTGAGCCGAAAGACATTGGCCTACGATATTTACACTCTACTGGAATGAAGCAAGAAATATTGAGAGATGCAAAACATTAGAAGGTTTAGATCTATACTCTCAAAACAGTGCACACGGTTAGTGAACGGAAACCTCACTTGTTTACAATGGCGTTTTAAAAGACAGACTTTGCCAAGTTTAGATCTAAACGAAACTAATGAAAAACTGAAAATTAAGCTACAGTGACTTCAGGCTCCTCAATAAAACTGTGCACCCTTTAAATGATTCTGAACCATCATTAATTTGGTCAAATTCGAAAGTTAAGTGGTTCGTAAGTTTTAGGCTGCGAAAGAGACAAACTTTCACAGATATAAAATTATGTATAGATTACTCCTTTAGCCGTCATCGACATCGATGGACAAGCGAAGAAGGGAGCAATGGGAGCGGCAGTCGTTGGTTTTGTGTGCTTTTTAGTTGTCTGTTTTTGTTCATGTAGAATTTCATCTTTAATTTCTTAATCCTATCCGTATGTCGTGTTTTACAATCGTATCCATACGACGAGGGGATCTCTGTGCCTCCATTTTCCAAAGAGGAAATTCACTCGTTAATCCGATCCGTACGCTTTGCATAGCAGTCTGTCAAAATGATTTTTTGAGAAATACTGAAAGTTTCAAAGAGATCTTCGTCCTTGAAGAATTTTAAAATGTGAAGAATACAACCCTGTGGGTACAAAATTACCCCAGGGGGTACGGATAGGGTTAATCCATAGGGGAGGGGGTGGGGCTATACAGCATTGATCCATCTATCAATCACAGGCTACCAACTCTACAGATCCTCTGTTCTCGTACCAATTTCCTGCGTCGGACTCGAAATTTCTCATTGTTTTTCTTATTGTGTTCATTCCTATTGTCTTATTGGTTAACTAGCTGGGTACCCGTTCGATGGATGGACTCAAAAGAATCGGTCGTCAAGTCATTGTGGAAACAGTGCGCACCTGCTTGTGAATGGAAGCTTCACTTGCTTACAATGGCGTCTTAGAAGACGGACTTTCCCAAAATTAGATTTGAACGAAACTAATGAAAAACTGAAAAATAAACTACAGTGACTTTAGACTCCTTAGTATAACTGTGCACCCTTTGAATGATTATGCACCACCGTTAATTTTTTTCAAATTTGAAAGTTAAGTGGTTCGGAAATTTTAGGCAACCAAAGTGAAGAACTTTCACTAATACATTATAGATAATAGATATAGATATATTGCACTACTGTATCTTGTTCACCTGTTCACTTTCGTCTGACCGCTGTTAAAACAATATACAATCAAATCCCTCTGTTTGTTCTTCGTTGGTCGTTACATACGAGTCTAAAAGATAGATGGCCTACAGAATCTGAAAGCTCATTTGATAAAAGTGACTGCAAGCTAAGGTCAGGTATGTTCTGAGATATAGCCACGGAATTTTGTCTATGTTGAAACTATAAGGAGAGTTATTTTTTAAAAAAATATTCCTCTTGTTCTCATGTCCAGGACAGATACGAGCTGAGGTTTGATTTGATTTTCAAGGGAAAGCACTATTACGCCAGATACGACACATTTTCCCTGTCTGGAGAATCGGATAACTACAGACTTCAGTTATCTGGATTTTCGGGTAACGCAACGAACCCCGAGCATTTTATACGGGACACCATGTCTGATAGCAAAGGCCAGCCGTTCTCCACCAGGGACCGGGACCACGACTCGTCAGCTCAAAGCTGTGCCAGGGGTGAACATTCAGCGTGGTGGTACAACAAGTCAAAGCTGTGCCAGGGGTGAACATTCAGCGTGGTGGTACAACAAGTCAAAGCTGTGCCAGGGGTGAACATTCAGCGTGGTGGTACAACAAGTCAAAGCTGTGCCAGGGGTGAACATTCAGCGTGGTGGTACAACAAGTCAAAGCTGTGCCAGGGGTGAACATTCAGCGTGGTGGTACAACAAGTCAAAGCTGTGCCAGGGGTGAACATTCAGCGTGGTGGTACAACAAGTCAAAGCTGTGCCAGGGGTGAACATTCAGCGTGGTGGTACAACAAGTCAAAGCTGTGCCAGGGGTGAACATTCAGCGTGGTGGTACAACAAGTCAAAGCTGTGCCAGGGGTGAACATTCAGCGTGGTGGTACAACAAGTCAAAGCTGTGCCAGGGGTGAACATTCAGCGTGGTGGTACAGCAAGAGGTGCAGCGGCGTGAGCCTCAACGGACGCTGGGGCAGCAAGCTGTACCGGCAAGGCCTCTACTGGTACGGGATAACAGGGTCCGTGAACTCTGTCTCCTTCAGCGAAATGAAGATTCGACCAGTGGTCCAGTGACAGCTTCACGACTCCCAATACTCCATGTCGCCGGCCAGATGTTCAAACGTACTAAACGTACTAAGCCCAAAATTGTGAAAAAGATTTTTTATTGCAGTTTCTTAATCTGTAGTATCAGTTCTATAGGCTCGTGAAATATTTAGTTGAAATACAAAATCTAAATGGTGAAAAAAGCAAGGGAAGACACATAACGTAGGAACATTTAGTAAAAGAACTGAAACAGATTTCTCTCTCTCTCTCTCTCTCTCTCTCTCTCTCTCTCTCTCTCTCTCTCTCTCTCTCTCTCTCTCTCTCTCTCTCTCTCTCTCTCCTTTTCTCCTGTAAAACGTTGCTTTCAGAGTGTAGGACATTTTAACAGCTTGTTGACGATATGTTGACTGTGTATTTAGATGCCTTCATGTCTGTGTATTTGTTTTAGTTTGGTGGTTAAAAAAAAGAAATTCCCTGAAAGAAAAACATCGAGACTTTACTTCTTAGACTGTATTTGTACCGTGGTGTCTGGTTATAGGACAGATTGTTTGAAATGGAAACGGAGCAGAAGAATTCTCTGAACACCTCCAACACTGGGCCCTGTGTGCTTTGCTTTTTATTCCAAACTAGAAATTATTCTTTTGTAGGTCACACACTCACACTAAATTAAATGCCCCCCCCCCTTTTTACACACATATATATACACACTAATATACCCATGCATACTTGCGCACAAACACACACACAGTCACACACACACACACACACACACACAATCACACATACATTCACATATACCCATATACACTTGACGCACACGTACACACACACACACACACACACACACACACACACACACACACACACACACACACACACACGTACATTCACACTTACTCACATAGTAATCTACACAATCACGCACACACACACACACACACACACACACACACACATATATATATATATATATATATATATATATATATATATATATATATATATATATATATATATATATATATAAAATATACACATCAAGGAAACCAAACTTCTCCTATAGGTAGGGCAACGCCCACTTTTGGAAAAAGGTCAAGATTTCTGGAAACCCCCGAAAACTTGGTTAGCCCAATTGTCCATAAAAGCAACCATTTATTGTACTGATCCTGATAAGTGCGACATCTACAAAAGGCACCTCCGTCAGCAAGAAATTCAAGATCGGAAATTCAGAGCAGTGTTATCGCGGAGCCGGCGTTCAAACAGGGAACCATATGTGAGGCATCGTGGTGAAATCAGGCGCTCGTCAAAATAAAGGAATCCAAAAAACAGGCATTCTCCCGCCAGTTTGGCAATTTGTAACGATTTTTTAATCTTTGGCTCAACACCTTTTAAGTCTGTATAACAACACATTTCCATGCGATTTTACTCAAATTCGTTGATTAGAGGAACAAAAAAAATATATGGAAATTTCTAGTTTTCAAGGATTCTCAAGCTTTTGAAATTACCGAACTTCGGCGGCCATTTTCTCGCTAATTGTACCTCGGAAACCAAGTAACCCCCACCTTCTTCAATAGAAAACTATCTTGACTTCTATTCAAGAAAGATGGGTAATGTTTTCACCAAAAGAAAGGCAAATGAACACGTTTACAGAAGATTCCAATAAGTGCAGATGCCCAAAATTTAACGAGCGCCTGATTCTACAGCGTCATGATACATTATTATTTTTCTGCAAGCCTGTTCAATGCTCAAGGCGCTTAGAAGGATGTATTGGCCCAACTCTATTGTGCGGTCAAAAAGTGGTGGCGCAACTTATCCTCAAATAATATCTCTTTAACGCGTGTATCAATGTCACCCATACTTTGCTCAGCGGTTTGTATCAGTTTGTCTTAACTTAATTATATACTGACGGTCATTAAAAATGCACCATTTTGGATTGAGCACATTTTGGACTAAAATCTATCCATTGACACCAATTGAGGTTGACAAAAGTTCACGGGCAACAGAGGTTACCGATCGCATAAAATTTAAAGTTCCCAGTTCAAAACTGTCAATGCGCACGTGCAACATGCAAAAATCCGATATGTCGACCTCAAACCTAAAATTTGTTCAGCGAGACAGATTTTTTGGCTGTTAGGGAGAGATTATATTCGCCCATAACAAAAACTGACATTCTTTACTTTGTGCGACGGATTTTTTCTGCGTAAATAATGCCGCAACTTTCCATGCAAGAACGTGAAAAGGCAATTGGAATGCCCCAAGCCGGAATGTCAGCACGGCAAGTTGCCAGGCGCATGAACTGTAGCCACTCGACTGTAACCCAGTTGTCTCAACAAAATGCAGCTACTGAATCTACAGCAGATCGACGACGGAGCGGCCAACCACGAGACACATCACCAGCGCAAGACCGTTACATTTGCCAACGTCACCTTCGTGACCGTTTCCTGCCAGCACCGGAAACAGGTCGTCAAGTGGTTGGTCAGCGTGGACCAGTATCTGAATGGACCGTGCGACGCCGTTTGCGGGAAGCAGGACTTGCAGCCAGACGCTCGTACGTTGGTCCTGTCCTGACACAGTGGCACTGTCAACAACGTTTGCAATGGGCCAGGCAGCATTTACAGTTGGCGAGAGTCGCATGCTGACGGGAGAAGAAGGGTCTGGAGACTCCCCGGCAAGCGCAATGCCAACTGTTGCATGCTGGAGGTCGATAGATGGGGAGGAGGCAGCGTCATGGTATGGGGAGCGTTCAGCCACGATTATCGCACACCACAGTGCTTCTTCGACCAGACTGTGAATGTCACCACGTACCAGCAGGTCGTACCGTTATTTGGTCAACACCCAGAGCTGCAGGTATTCCAACACGACAACGCCCTCCCTCACACCGCTCGAGCCACCACTGTTTTTCTGCAGGCAAACAACATCGATGTCCTGCCTTGGCCATCACTGTCTCCTGACTTGACACCAACTGAGCATGTGTGGGACGACCTTGGCCGCCGTTTGTCCCGCGGAAGACCTCTACACAATCTCCAAGAGCTGAGGCGTTCTTTGACAAATGAGTGGGTACAGATTCCAAAGGTGTTCTTTCAGACTCTTGTCAATTCCATGAGAAGACGCTACAAATCCTGTACATTGTATTCAGGTCAATGGAGGACATACACGATACTAAAGCAGGTGTTAAAAACTCAATTTACCGCTCTGATTTTTGAAAAATGACTTTTGTTACTTCATGTTTTTGTGCTTGCGGTGCCATTTGATCTTTTCATTTAATATCAGCTGTGAATGTTCACAAAATGGCCATAGATCGCAATGGTATACAATCTGTTTTAAAAAATAAACACGTCACCACTACTTGAATTGTTTTGTAAGTGGTGCGTTTTTAATGACCGTCAGTATATTTTCCCATAGCAATTGAGGCTAGATCAAAACCTTTTTCTTAATAAATTTATATAAAATACTAAAAATCTCCGTCTCGCGGAAAATGGGATTGTTAACAGATCTTCCCGCTTCTCACACACATTTTTCATACGCATATTATGGCCGACGTCACAGCTCACCAATGCCACTGTTTAGAGGCAAAACTAGTTACAAGAAATTATTGTTTTAGCGAACACATTTGTGAGGCAGCGTGGTGAAATCAGGCTCTCGTCAAAATAATCAAAGTGAAGAAACTTGTATTTTTCATCAGGTTTAGGAATTTTTTAAAATCAAATTTGTGTTTTTTGGCTCAAAACCTTTCATGCCCATTAAAGAAGTCATTTATGTGTGGATTTTTCTGAAAAACGTTTCTTAAAGACACAAAATGTAGATTTTCAGTTACCACGGACTCTTAAGCTAAGGAAATAACTCATCTTTGGCGGCCATTTCCTCACTAATTTTACCTCTGAAAGCAGGTGACCCCCACCTCCTTCTTTCGCAAATATCCCGACTTGTTTTCAAGATAAATGGATATATTTTCATCCAAATAAAGACAAGTGAACAATCTTTAAGATGATACCAATACCTCTACAGGCCCCAAAATTGACGACAGCCTGATTCCACCGCGCTTACGTTACGTGCGCATTGTGTAATCGATCAAATGAGCAAGGATTGTTTTAATGCGAACAGCCGACGGTGAAGAATGTTTGTTTGTTTGTTTGTTTGTTTGTTGACGTAAAAAAATAGGATAATGTAAAGTATAAGGGGGAAATAGAGTGAGCTGCAGTTTTACATGTGCCTTTGTTTATCAGTTTTTATTGAATATTCAGTGGCTTTTTCCATTTTGCTCATCCAGACCACAACACAATCAGCTCCAGTTATAGTCCAATACTATAGAGTGTTCACTTTCGTCTACCCGCGTGAAAAGACAATCTGGCTTATTGATTAATTTACGGTGACCCTCGAGACTTTGCATGGAACTTCTGCAGGCCAGCGACCTGATAAAGATTTTTTTGTTTAAATCTTGACCCAGTAAGTAATATAATTGATAATATATATTTATCCCGTCAGGGGCCCGACGTTGTGTCCTT